AAGATTATTTAAGTAAACTTATTTGTGTCTGGAATCATGTTATATGCTTGTCTTTGTGAAAGATTTTGGTGGTGGTAAGAGAGTTGAAATGTTAGGCAGGTGTGGAGTGGTGGCTATATTTTGGGTTATTCGTGGAAAAGAAGTAGGAGGAACTTTTGATAGCTTCAGGGGTGAGGAGGGTGGATTTTCTGTGATATGAACTTACCTTCTTTTATTTGCATTGTCCTAATAAAATTTTAGTTTTCTACCTTGATATCCTTTTTAATCTGTTTCTTTAATAACTAAAATGAATCCCTGTGGAAAGGAAAAGACTTGCACCCAACTGCTACTTTGGAAATAAACTTCACCACTGAAACATCAAATAAAAGGTTTAATATGCAGTTTTATGCACTGGACTTTTAGAAGTGGACTATACTTGGGAATGGTAAACCTGTTCAATTTTAAGCTATATGTTTAGCAAGTCAGCTGTTCTTTTATAGCCAATTAGTTAGTAAGTGATCATCAAGCATGAAACTAGGTATAGGACTGCAGCCCAGGACTGCATTAAAGCCCACAGCCTACATAGTTCAGCCCATCCCAGCTCCGTCCCTGGCGGTGATTATGGTATAAATACCATAATATTCAACTTGGACAAGGACAAACTTTGTTGTGAGATCATTTCTATAACAAAGCAACTCTGCTATTGTTTATTTGTCTTCACTACTGCTGTTTGTCATCAGAAAATCATTGACTCATTAGCTTACTTTCTTGATCTGACAAATTGAAGTTTTCCAATGAAATTTATTTTCCTTTAACAATAATTGTTTCTGCATTATGAAGATTCTCCCTGATGCTTATTGGACTGGATTATTTCCTCTTGTGCCTAAGCCCCTGGAACTCCCTCCTAGCCGCCTGTTCTCTGGTTTGGTAGTGAATCTGCCATTGTTTCACCCTTGGCTTCCTGTGACAATCATTCATGCGAGAGTTTCCGAATTTCTTTTTCTTTGCAGGCTTTGCGAAGTTTTATGGTTATGGTTGTCCATTCTATCAGTAATTGAACTTGTCAGTGTTAGAACTTTTGAATTGTCCGAATTATCAGTTGGAGTTCAGTAGCTATATATGACCTGTATACTGGCAGTGATATAAGGGTAATTTGGTTGGAAAGTCTGCTCTGTTTGGCCAGAGGGAAGAGGGCTAAAGTCTTGTGGGGAAGTACTTTTCTTTGTATGATGTGGACATTTACAGTTATTGTATCATTTAAAAAAAGATTATTTAAAGTTGTTTTTGTTCAAAGATATATATCAACTGTGTCGTTGTGTTTGTGAAAACATGCTATACAAACACGCACATGCAGATGCATGTCCATATAGTTGTTTAGAATCCCAATTAGCTGATCAACATTATTACACTGTCTTTGGCAGGTGGGTCCCCAGACCAGGGATCAGTTGGGTCTGGGACAAAGAGGTCTAGTGCATCATCTGGCAGTAGGCCTCGTAATCGCAAGGAATTTCTTTATAGATTTGTGGACAGTAGCATGCTGACTGCAAAACTTGAGGACTGGTTTGAATCTATATCCAATAAATCAGAACCGAAGAAACCTGCCTTTGATGTGCCTTTTGAGTTGATAGAACTTCAAAAGTTTGACTATGCATTGGAAGGGATTTCATTTCAGCAGGTGATTAGGATGCCCAATGCCGTTTATGCTTCAACATCTGATGCTGTCGAAGCAACTGCTTATCTTGCTATTGAAGATTTTTTGCATGCCGGTGTGAAGGGCTTGTGGGAAGCATTCTGGAGTCAGGATGAGCCGATGCCTTTCTCTGTTGCTTGTTTATACGATGAAAACTTAAAATTCTACCAGGCTGAGAAAGCAGTTGCTGATGGTAAGCTTGGAGGTCTTTGTGCTACTGGTATATTGCTTACAAACCCTAGACATCCCCATGGGAAGTGGGATCAGATTCTTGAACTGGCTCTTTTAAGGCCTGATATCAGAAACTTTGCGATGGATAGTGACAGGCAGCTCCCTCTATCTGTTTTAGGTGAGGCCCTTTTCTATGCTCTACGTGTATTATTATCAAGAAGCTTGAGCAGACTGAACTACTCTCAGAGTTCAAACTCAGTTTTTATTCTTCTTGTTGATTCTCAGTATGGTGGGGTAGTAAAGGTTGAAGGAGATGTAAATAAGTTGGTGTTTGATGTCAATAATGTTTATGAATGTGCTGCTGAATGGATTATAAAACATTCTAGGATTGCAGTCTCTTCGGTTGATAGGATCTGGAACAAGCTTGGAAATGCCAACTGGGGAGATATCGGTGCTTTACAAGTACTTTTTGCCACCTTCCATTGTATCATGCAATTCGCTGGATTTCCCAAGCATTCAGTAGAGGATTTAGCTGCTGATCATGGTCCTCGTCTCCAAGCAAGAAGGGGTGAGAGGCAGTTGGGGGATGCCCGGGTGAATGGAAATGGTCTATTTCGGTTCCAGCAACGCAGTGTATCCCCTGAAATTGTTGAAGTTCAGGATGATTCTGTCAAAATTGAGACTGAACAGTTAATGAAGCTAGAAGTAGGATCTGTATTATGGTTGGAGGATTCTAACTGGCAAAAAGGTTACCAGATCAATCAAGTCTTGAATAACAGTGAACATCCATATTATATTGCATCTCCAGTTGAAGATCCTCAGAAAAGGCTGTTTCTGTATGTTGGTTCTCATCCTTCCCAGCTGGAGCCTGCGTGGGAGGATATGAATCTGTGGTATCAGGTTCAGAGGCAGACCAAAATTTTGACTATTATGAAACAGAAAGGACTATCTAGCAAGTATCTACCTCAGTTGAGTGCTTCTGGCAGGATTATTCACCCTGGTCAGTGTCAGCGACCCAGCTCTGGTGGGAACTGTGATCACCCCTGGTGTGGCACCCCCATTCTTGTGACCAGCCCAGTTGGTGAAACAGTGTCTCAGTTGATAAGTGAGGCCAGATTTGGTATGGAGGAGGCGGTTAGGTGTTGCCATGATTGCTTATCTGCACTTTCGACTGCTGCTTCTGCAGGGATTCGCCATGGAGACATCAGGCCAGAGAACGTGGTTTGTGTCAGATCTGCTGTGAGGCAACCTTATTTTGTTCTTATCGGTTGGGGACGTGCTATACTTGAAGATAGGGACCGCCCTGCAATGAACCTTCATTTCTCTTCAACTTATGCTCTCCAGGAGGGAAAGCTGTGCTCAGCTTCAGATGCAGAGAGCCTTGTTTATATGCTTTATATTTCCTGTGGTGGAGTTTTACCTGATCTTGATTCGGTTGAGGGGGCACTACAGTGGAGAGAGACTTCTTGGTCTAGGAGATTGATTCAGCAGAAGTTAGGTGATGCGTCAACTATATTGAAAGCATTTGCCGATTATGTTGATAGTCTATGCGGGACACCGTATCCCATGGACTATGATATATGGCTAAGAAGGTTGAGGAGAAATATAAATGAGGATGATCATGGGAAGGAAATTGATACATCGTGCTAAGGTTTATTTTTTCCTTTTCAAGGGCCACTCCATCAGAAATGATCCCTCTGGATCATCTGGAGCATTAACAATTCCTGGCTGCAATGACATGAAATTTTGTTGGAAGTGTTTGATACCTAATGCCAAATGTCCAATGTGATGATCTGGAGTCCATTGATTGAAACAGAATTCTTGTTTAAAATTTCGGAGACTGGCATGACTGCATCGCTTGAAGAAGTTCAAGCATGGAAACTCGTTTATGGTGATGTTTGTGCTGTTCCTTGCTCTGGAAATGATTTTGGGATTGCTTCTCAAGGGGATCTGCACAGATGAGCATGATTTTCAAGAATTTTTTGAGCTTTTGTGGTAAGAGTGTCCGTGGTGGAACCGAGAATTTAAAATTATATGGATATGTTTGCATGCAGTTCCCTAGTACAGTAGGGGACCTCAAAAAAAGAAAATCATTTATTTTTGCACTTCTGAAGAGTTTGTTTTATAAGAGAATATGTGATGTATTTATTACCATTTGTTTGTAAAGATCCAAACCATTGAAAGTTTGTGTAATTGCTACATATGAGTTGACATAAGTAGTCCATTGTGTCCAGGGCATCATTCTCTTCTGTAAATGTATTAGTGTTTTGGTTTGCCCGTATGGAAAACCCATTTTAATGCATTATCTGTTCTGTTGGGCTTCTACCTTGAATTTCCACTATTGTTTTTGGTCTTTCGACTATCTTTTTGAAATCAGAACCCTCTCAACCTTATCCATTAAGCTCTATAGAGTCATCTCCCTTGCACAACCATATACTCTCCCGCAAAAATGTAACCTAAATTTCTTGAACACTTACCTGCTGTGGATTTGCCTGTAAACCCTAGACGAGCATCCATCGTATTCAATTGCTTTCGACAACCTCCATAACCACATACATGACCAACAGTACCATTTGAGTCTTTCCTGATGCCGCCATTCTTGGTGTGCCCAAATGGTATCTTGAACTTATTGGAATGGCTGTTGTCAGGGCTTGCATTCTTCTATGTTGGATCGGGTCACTGTGGACATGAATTAATGAGTCTGTTGACTCTAAATTAATGAGTCTATCGAGCATTTGAGTTATTTAATGAGTGGAGTCCAATGTTTTCTTGATTCATTAATAAAAGCCAAAATGAGAAGCAAATATATTTGTAAGTGTCAAATGTTCTTAACGTTGATTGGATTTGACCAAGATTCTCATAAAGTTCAAATAGGGATTGGTTTGAGATTGGAAGTCTTGCACTCTAGGTAGTCCAAACCGCCAAGGAGATTGGTTCCTACTGAAATTAGGTCAAAGGCCAGTATTTGAATAAGGTTCAAAGTCAATGCTCTATCTACACAACTTCTCTCAACAGATATCAAATTGATTACCATTGATCCTAAAACCGATTCCAAACAGATTTTGGCACATATTTCAGAGATGACAGACCAACTAGACTAGTTAGCACATCACATTTATAGCCTCTACTATGCTATTGGATCAAATGACAAAGACATTGTTTAGAAAAAATGGCTTCGATCCCTCGCCCACAACTGGCCAAAAAGGGAAGGATCTTCCAAGCTGGAATGCATGCTACAAAAATCATTTTGACGTAACATAGAAATGAATAAAATAAGAGTTAATATCATTCCAACCAGTTGGCAGCTCCTGAGAGATTTCATCACAAGGTAAAAGAGAAGGTACACTTGTGAGAAAAGCACCCGCTTCAATTAAGGAAAAAATAGAAAAATAATGTCAACAGCTACATAGCTTGGACAGAATTCATGTGCAGAGACTGATGATCTGGTAATGTAGGGTGCAAAATGACCTATTGGCTGTGGAGCCCGCTGATTACTCAATTGACTGCACAAATCCGAACTTATTTCAGTTTTCCGGCTCATGTGACTGCGACTACGTCACTTTGGATGAGACCCCGAAAAGGCAGCTCCGAAGATTCACGAACATCCATGGCTCCATAAAAGCATCTCAGTCATGATTTAAACAAAGTAAACAAATTAGATTATAGCATATGAACGAGGTTAAGATTAGCTGTTATTATAGAACTTCATTTGAATCTTTATACTAATTTGCAAACTTAATAAAAACCAACGCTAAAAGATTGTGTTTCTCTGTCACAATGTACTGCAAATTTAGACCCTCTCAAGTGTGTCAAAAATTATATGAATGTCAGGTTCTAGTTTTTCTATGCTCCTACATAACTATGTAAGACACCATACCAATTTGTAGAATATCTAACCAGACAGCTAATGACCAATGTGGAGAGAGAAAAAAGTAACTTCAGTTTACGGTTTTTACAATTCTCTCTAGGTAGGAAGCGAACAAAGTTTAAGTGGAATGATGCAGCTGGAAACTGATGATACTATATGCCACAAGTCACACGGAAAAAAACATGCCTCACGTTCGAGAGAGAGAGAGAGAGAGATATATATATATATACCTTGAAAAGTTTGTCATTCCTTCATTAACTAGGCTGCATTGGAGTGTACATCCTTACCCTCTGTGTCTTGGTGTCTCCAATATCTTAAGAATTGAATTAGTATCTAAAAGGCATTAAGGTACAATAGTTTCAGACTGTTCAAGATATTGCACTTGTTCTGTAAGAGGTACAACAAGAAAACTGTTCAACCTTCTAAGAAAAACTATTAAATTAGCAAATTTTTGACAATGCACTTTGTACTATTTTAAGATAAACATATATAGTCATTTCAAACAGGTATGCTACATTCAAAAATACATATGTAACAGTGATACAAGAAGGATACGAAAATATCTAGAAGCATGCATCCTCCAGCATCCACCAGCCACGGAAGATTTGGTCTGATCCCCGACCAGTCCAAGCTGTTCACAATAATGCTGCACAACAAAGAACCAAGATCAATAGTGAAATGGAATAAAAGTAATTCCTGAAACAATCTACATATTGTGGTAAAAAAATACATCATTAACTTTGGAACTAACTGTAAATTAAATGGCTGTACAACAAAAGGCCAAACAGTAGGAAAAGAACCACAACCAACATTCACCTTGCTACATAAGTGGCATTTCCAAGAACAGCAAAGACGAACATTAAAGGATTAAGCCCCTGCATATTATACAGAAAAATATTATCACTCTCTCTCTCTCTCACTCTCTCACATCATGCATGCAACACAAAGATATTTGCATTCTCCTCTGGGTTGAGGAGTGGGATCAAAGGGTTAGTTGATGCTTATACTGCTGTAATAAAAGAATCACTAAAAAAATTCATGAAAAAAGCATTCAATATCTGAAGGTGCCAACAAGAAACCACTGACACAGCAAATAGGGAGAAAACTAACAAAGAGAACAATTACGGTAAATTTGAATCAATATACTCAATCAACTAGAATCATCTCTTAGGGCATGTTTGGGATTACTTCTGCACGAACTTTTTAACATCCAAAAGTGCTTATGGCTGCTTTTGAAATAAAAATTTGAAAGTGCTTAGCACTTCTAGTACTTCCTGGAAGAAATTCCAAGTGCTTTTCCAGAATCTCAATCATCTCACAAGAATCTGAAACCTTATTCACAGTAAGGCCTCTTCAAAGAGGCAATCACACATTACTAAAATAACTAAACAAAACACAATAGGAAACCTACATAATTAACTAGAGAGTTTATCACACACAACATGTATACAGAAAATTAGTGTAGGAAGAGCTGTAAATGTAGGAGAGGTTGGAAAGTGGGGACTTTGTACAATTATCATACTTTACTTGCATTTTGCAATTTATTATTGATACCCGTTTAAATAATACCTTAAATTATTATTAGTGTATATAAATTGACACAAATAATTAACCCACTGAGTCCTAATTCTGATAAATATAAACTTATACAAAATACACTTAACCTCTAAACATGAGCTTAGGCCTAACATTAAATACAGATTCATTTTCTTCTTCCATTAATCATTAACTACATCTATGACGGTGAAAATGCTTACCTCAACATTGCCCTTTCGGATCTGCAAAAATTGATCAAGAACCAGAAGTTAACATCACTCAGACAACTGAGACAGAAACAAATGCCCATATTCTAAAATAAAATTGGATACCCAAAAAAAAGGAATGGATTAAGACAATGATATTTGTCGAATATAAGTAACTAATTCTGGTTTGAATGTCTTATAGATAGCAGCATATCATGCTGGAGCACACCATACTCACTACATGCACAATGACAACCCATGTATTCATTAGCAGATAGAAGTGGCAAAATTAAAGTTTCCCCACAGAAGAAAAAACATAAGAACTAGAATGATCTCACAGAAGCGAGCGAAGCTAAAGAAGTTGTCAACTTTGCACAATACAGCACCTCCTCCCCAATAAGTATAGCTACTTTTAAGGGTACTACTTACATTTAAGAAAATTTGTGGAAGCCGTCCACCAATGTAAATAGCTGCCATTCCCCAACCAAGCAAATTTCCTATCCCGCTGCTATCTTTAGTACCCTTTGCTTGCAACAGCTCACTACTTACCTGAAATTCAAATTGTGATTCAGCAGAAAAGAACAATGCTTGAGTTTCATTCATCCTCTTTGGAAAACATTTATGACTTCTACAGAAAATTATCATAAAACTGAAAAAAAAAAAAAAAGAGTACAAGACATATTGACCCAGAGAACATCCTGAAACATGACTTTGTGTATCCCCAATCTTAAAACTTTGTCCAAACTCCGAACTAGAAAACAATAATGGTGATGATAATGGACTTTTTTTTAGACTAGAAGATTAAATTTGATTTCATAAGCGAGACTGTACAGTAAAGTGGACAGGTAATCCACCAAGAGCAGAAGAGCAAATAACATTAATAGAAGAAATTATAGATTAAGAAACCAAAATAAATCATGACACTGCAACTTTTCAATCTAGAATAATATTGAACCCCAAAGCACTGCCCAGAACTTGACCTGCTCCCACACCTCCACTTACACCCCCGTAACATGTTCAAAGATCTGCTGATTCCTTTGTGACCAAATAGACCAAAAATAGCCATCACCAGACAACCCCATATTGTTTTAGCCTTTTTTTCCACCAGCCATAATGATGATGATAATGATGATGAAAGATAAGATATGTTTTACCCAACATTCTAACTAATACGCCATGTATACCCATTATATGAAGTTACAGAAAGACAGATGCACACCATGTATATCTATTATATTAAGTTTTGTACAGAACATATTAAACAGGCAACCAGAAGAGAAAACTGCTCAGCCATAAACTGGCAACATTAGTGGTTTGTGCAACAAGAATAGTGCCGCCTAACCTGTTTTCTCAATAGCATCTTAAGAATTGTAAAAGAGAAAGTAAACTGCCAGTTTGGAATTTTGACTACCTGCAACAGCCTTCTTCCTACTCGCATCACTACTCCTCGACTTGGATTTTCAACAATTAAATCAAGTTTGTTATCTACTGATCGGTGATTAAAAGTGCCAAAGAGGGTCATCAGAGAGACCTAAATCAGAAGGAAAAGATAACAGTTTACATCGTATGATCAATATTCTGACAATACAATATACTTATTAATTATACATTCACCGGTATAGAGCTTACCACACAGAGGACGGTCTTGATATTATTAGATGGTGCAGATTGTGTAGATGCAAGTGCACCAAGCAAGGGCTCTTCATTGGAATTCCGAATATGATTAAATGTAGGAGCTGTTGTTTGTGCCAAATAAGACCTTTCTGTAGGGGTATGACTCCTTGATAGAGATCTTGCTGATCTGATGAATTCCCAGGAAAATAGAGATCTTACTACATGATCATGATTTTCAACAATGAAAATTAGATAGATCACTTAACTCTGAAAATTTAAAAACATTTATCTCAGCAACCATCTGATTATAGTTGCAGACTTCATAAAAATGCTGGCAGATTTCAGCTAGCAACATCTTGCATTTCAAGATTTTAAGGTTAGATATGGAGCAAGGGTGAGCAATTTGCAGCCCTAGTTATCTTTCATTTTCTTTTCAAAGATGCAGATTAATCGAGACAGCCACCAAATTTCAGTTAACATCATTATTACAATCATGACAAATCTGGAAAGGTGTCCAAACTGCAGTATGAGTACCCAAAGGGTGAACAGAACCCTTCAAGAAAGTAAGAGAGGTTTTCTCTTAAGATAGATATACCAGATAAAATTAAGACCAAGTTACACTAGCTCCAACCCCACTTAAATAGATCTAATAACAACTAGCCTACTCAATACTTTCTAGTTCCAAGAGCATGCCCCTAGAAGGTCACAGAAAAAACTGACTGACATAAAGTACAAAAAAAAAATATATGTATATATATGTATATATTCATAGCCTAAAAGCCCCAAACCAAGAAACTTATTAGATCCTCAAGAACTATCCAGAACAGTAAGTTTTCTATCAACTGGCTGCTTCATAAAGTTGACTAAAACTTTAACAAAGGACAAGTGTCTTTGCTTTGAATGTAATTTCTTTTGTTTTTTTCTTCTCCTATGCGAACCCATCTGCTCCCCTTATTTTTCAGAAGCCTGGTAGGGTTTAATGTATATCCAGTACATGTCCAACTCTTACTTCGTTTTTACATAGACAAAATTTAGATATAACTTTACTGTGCCAAATTGAAGTCTTCATCAATTATACATTAAAAGAAACAAAAATAAAAAGAGATAATCGATAATAATATGTCACTCCATAGAAGCACATTTGAGAGATCTGATGAGAAATATTAATTACATGTAGTATGATTCTCTTCTGGGGGAAATACTTGGACAAATTCCTGGAAGAGGAATGGGTGAACTCAAAACATTTCCTGCACTGGGGGTGTCAAACCCAATACTCCTGCCAGCATGGTTGACCTGTTTCCCAACGAAGTCAGTATTGCTTCTTCTAACCTCAGTCAGGTTAGACTTGGAACCCTACATTACAGATTAGTGCATTAAAGGTATTCTCTTTTTGCTTTTTGATGCAAGCATTAAACGTACTCGATGTATGACTGCAAAAAGGCAAAAAAGAAACCTAAAGCAGAAAATAAGTAATACATAAAGCAGTTGAATTAGCAAATGTAACTGTCATAAGTAAATTAAGTGCTCCAAGTTATGTGCTACTGTTGCGTGCTTCTCTGGAATTGTATTCAAACCATCACTCGCCCCTAGAAATCAGAACAACACATCTATAAGCAAACTAATCATTGTAAAACCTACTGGAAAGAAGAAGCTATCTGCCAAAAAAGTTCTATTTCCACAATCTGATTAGATGGTCACAAGAAAGAGAAGAAGACAATGAGGTGCTTCTTCAATTTAGAAGAAACCGGTACAGAAATGCTAGCTAACCAGAAAAGATTTCCTTCTTTTCTAAGATTGAAATAAAATCTCGATCAAATTGAGGTCATATCAGCTGGTCAAACAAACAATACAGAAAATGTTTGACAGATCCGTATAAGGTTAATGTGTACCTACTTCATGTAATCGAAAATTAATCAGATGGGCATGAATTTCTGAAAACCTCAAATCACTTGAATCTTTCTCAGTTTGGATTATATTCAAGTTTCCTATTTTTCCAAATCTTGATTCTTTTGCCATATTTGAACTTGGAATCCATTATAGGATCTTTCAACAAGCTTTCCATTACATGCTCTTTAAAATTTTCTTAGTTCCCAAAATGAGAAGCTCTAACTTTCCTACTCCACTAGAAATATACAATAAGGCAAACATGAATGAGTAAGTGGCTAAGGTTATGCGATTATGTAAGAGGAGATGAGGACATCAGCTTCCAACCTTTTTCTGTCTCAAATTGTGTTTAAGTCGAGGATATATGCAGCCAAAGTATATGGTCTGCACCGCAAGAACAGCTGTGGTAATTGTATACAACTGCATACCAAGAAAACAGTGAAAGATCGCATCACCTCATTTGTTGATGACATGAAATCAATTTGAATGAAAAATCTATTTGTTTAGATATCAAAATGAAGCTCCAGTCTCGACATTTGTACCATTGCCATATAGTATTGTGTGGGAAGCTGCACAAGCAAGGATACAAAGGAGCAGTTAGTTACCAATACTTTGTGTTTATGAAAGACAATATGTACCCAAAAATGTCCAAAGCTAATCTGAGATCATTACCCTTATGCATTGGGAAGCAATAAAACAAAATAATCCCAATAAGTAAGCATTATGGTGAACTTTTGTTGACAGAGTCTTCTTGTAAAAAGCAAACTTTCTATATAGAAGATTGATACTTAACTGAAATTGCACACCAATTCTCTAGATCATCCAAACCAATTCAAAGATAACAAGAACTTAGGTAGACACTTTCAACAAGTTCTGAATTGTAACTTGATTTGCATATTTTATTTATGATCAAGTCTTCTTTATCCATAAAACACAGAATTTATATATGGCACATGGACCAAGATGAAGGACCCACCAAGATAAAGGGCTCCCAATCTGGATTACCATCAATCAACAGACCAACACTAACTGGAGAACCCTAGGTTGCAATAGCATACAACATCATGTTAAGTTTACTTTGTATTGGCTAATTCCATGTCTGAAACACTAGAGTTGTAAGAGTTTGTGTCGAGCAAGTTGAAGATGACATCTCAAGAAGAATGAAGAGGACGAGCTTTGGTCACATGCTAAGACGAGTCTATAGTTTCATGTTTCACAATTCAAAACTTAATGAGCCAGAAGTCCACCATCAAAATGATACAGCCCTAACAAACAAATCCAAAATATACCTCCTACACTGTAGAACAACGCTAACAACTATACCACAGGAAACTTCCAAATCTAATAAAATTACAGAAAACAAAAGATCCCTATAAGTTGGAGAAAGAGAAGCCCATAACGATCGCCTGATTCTTTCCCAGGAAATCTCTTCTACCTCCGCACTATAGTTCTCGAATATTTTTCGATTTCTCTCCAACCAAATTACCTAAAGGACAACTAACACAGTGCGATTCCACAACATTCTTGCCTTCCTTCCACCGCCAAACGACAAACTTTTCGCAAAGCATGTTTGAAGGTGACTAAAGGATATTAACCCTTGCCTCCCTGACTAACTGCCACAGCAGCCGCAATGCATATGAACAATGTGAAAACAAGCGAGTTCCAGATTCCACCTCTTTTTATGGGCAAAATGCACCAGTGAGTAGAAAGACAAACATTGAATCTTCTTCGTTTAAACGAAAGTGTCTCATCAAGAATATTTTAACCATTTCTACATTTCTGGACTCCTATCCTACTTACCATCTATGATCTTCTACGTTTATGATGCTTAGAGTTAGAACTCCATATAAACATTTTTGCCAACTTTGAGGAGAACGTTGTGCAACCTAGAGCTTTGGAGTTTGTGTTGTCTTTGTGAAGTTGCTTTCTCTCATAGATGCTGTTGTGTTTTTTACTTTTCTGGTATCTTAGGCAGCGTTTGAATTTTTTTTCCATAGTCTACAATAGTTTTATGTATGTATCCATTGTCCTTTTATGCCACTTATACCTTGTCATATCATATGAGAAACCAGACTGATGCCACCCAAGGGTGAGTTAATGTTCCTCTAGTACAGACCTTGCCATGTGATGGCTACAGGGGACATTAAGCATAGCATTGGCCTGGAGCAGACTGTTCTTACGCCTTGGGAGGGACTTTCTCCATCACCTCACATCACGTTGCTCTATGGAGAGCTGGTTTGATTGTTACAAACTAGCCAAGTGGTGGCCACAAGGAAGAAACAGCAGATTCTCATTTATGCCCTTGGTTGTAATGTTGACATACAAACATTAAGAATCTTACATTTACATGCACCATTAAGTAAAAGTTAAAAATACCTCCACACTTGCTTTGGTAGAGGAATACAGATGAACTATATCAGGCACCGAAGTAATACAGAGCTGCTAAATTAAATTTAACAAAAATAAAAGAAGTTATTTTCATATACAGGGACAAGTTTAAAAAAGCTACTGAAGAAACTGAAACCGAAACATTAAGGGACACTTACCGTAGCTGGTTCCAACATGCAGCCAAAAAGATTAAAAAGGTCCCTGCATAAGAATTCCATATGAAATAAATTACAAGAGCAAAGCAATTAGTCTCTTGTCAATATCACAATTCAGCTTAGAAGCTAGAACATAAATTCACATATTATGGCTGCAGGCTGTATGAAGCAATTTGTGACAAAGTTTTGGCTACATCAAGTAAACACAAAGGTATCATTGTCAAAATTGGAACTACAAGGACGAAAGTGAAAATCCTAGAAAACTAGAGAAATAAATTACAAAGATATTGATAAGCTTGCATTCTGAATCAAAAAAAAAAAAAAGGATTGAACTCCAAGCATAATTTGGTGGAGGGTTTACAAAGACAAGAATTTGGGAATTGTGAAGCAAAGAAGAATGAATAGCTTTGCTTTTGAATTTCTTTCTGGGTCCACCTCCACCACCACATAAATGACATGAGGAAGACATTTGAAAACAACAGCAAATAGAAAGCAAAAGTCTAAAATGGATGGATGGGGAACTTAAAAATCATAAGGACATAAATAAATGTAAAAATGCACAGAACATCAACAAAATTATAATAATAAAGGATAAAGAGATGAAGAAAAGGGCAAAAGCAGTAAGCCGCAAAATCATAAAAGTAGCCTACCCGAGTATCCAAGTCATTAAGAAAGCAAGAGACAGACCGTTCGTGGATTTGTTTTTGTAGTTTGTGATGATTTGAGGTATCTCAGCAACACCCCAACTCACCACACTGACTAAACCCAGTGTCAGCGAAACGCCGTCTTTGACGCTGCAAAGATTATACTCCATGTACTTCCTCCCCCATTCCCAACAATGCTCATCTCTCGTGGGCCCCACTGCCATTCCTCCCATCACTGTATAGTATTGCATGCTTCTCTCTCTCTCTCTCTCTCTCTCTCTCTCTCTATTCTCCTCTTCTCTTCTCTACCAACACAGCCTTCCTTCAACGTCCCCCTCACTCACGCTCTCTGTGGGTTTGTTTGAGTTGTGTGTTTTGAGTGAGAGAAATATTAGAAGGCAATTTCAATTTCTAATGAATTCCAAATGCACCCAAAAAAGTAATAATAATAAAAGGCAGACCATAACTAGGAATCAAAAACGTTATGTAAATATCCATATATTTCTATTTGGAAAATTAACAAATATCCAATCAAAAAATCCTTTTTTACTAATCAAGGTGGTTGGTGTGAGTGATTCGGCACTCTCATTCCTTAAGAGAGGTTAAAGGTTCGATCCCTGCTCTCGTACGGAGTCACCACTTTGGCCAACACTTTACCCCTTACGGGCCGACCCGGTGTGAGTGGGGATTAGTCTGGATTGTGGTTAAGGCTTAAAGGTGCCACCCATAGTTGGGGCCCATCCAGGACCACCTCATGGTTTAGACCCAAAAAAAAAAAAAAAAAAATCCTTTTTTACTTTGGAAAAATTGTCTCCGTCATTTTCTCAGAAACGATAGCATCAAAGGCAGTGCATGCCAGTGTGTTGCTGCTTGATGAGTTAAATCCAAAAATGCTGATAAATAATTCACTTAAAAAGAAAACAAATATATATTAGGTAAAATGTGATTTTTGGTCCGTGTAGTTTACCATTTTTATCATTAAGGTCTATATAGTTTCAATTCGATCAATTTTATCCTTGTAATTTGAATTTCAAGCCATTCAAGGACAATCCCAAATTTTGGTATCCCCAATTTTGGTCAAATTTTTGTTTGCATGGAGGGGCGTTTAGGTCCAATCTATGGTCTCTCCCCAACCACTCCCACAGCCCCTCCTATAGCTTTTCTTCTACTTTCAAGTCTTAAAGTCCCTTACCTCCAATCTTGAATGAAAAGTTGTGTGACTTTTTAGTCTTAATCTCTGCCTTTTGTTTTTGGGAATTTGAGTTCATGAGAACATGTTTTGGGCAATGTATGGAATTAGGATTGGAGTTTGATAATAGGAAGAAATAAGGGAAAGGGTGGTTGTAGAGGAGTGGAGCAAAATGCTGAGTTGGAAGGTGGAGGAGGGTGGTTGGGGGGGGTGGTTGGGTCATGGCTATGGGGGCAGGGAGTGGGTTGGGCTGGGAGGGGGGAAGAGGGATGGGAGAAGGTGGTTGAGGAGAGGCTGTTGGGTGGTTGGGGAGGGGTTGTAAGATTGGATTGAAATGCCCCTCCATGTGGAACATAAATTTGATAGGAATTAGGGATTGTGTCAAAAATATGCTCTAAAGACAAAATTATGGATGTTTCATTACCTTTTTGTAAATCATAGGGGCAATTACGTCGATTTAAGTAATAGTCTCATTAATAGTTATCTACCTAAATGATAAGTCCATGAGCAGTGAGATGCGGAAATCGATGTAAAGAAGTTAGGTCCATTAAACCTTTCCCTATAACTCACACCTTGAAAAGTTCCTGGTCATAGAATTTTCAACTAAGCATTGACAATCAGCAAAGATCAGCATACACTATATTTGCTCAATTTGGAGGATGACTGGTCTCAAGTCATTTGTGTAGTGACACTAGGGCAAGTGTATGGGTATTCACTAAAGAGTGAATTCACTGAATGCGACCAACTAAGAGAGCTTGTATGGAAGTTTTACCTACATGTCAAACAAGGTCTCCACAGTTGTAATAATGTAAATTACTCATAGACCAGAGGCATCGCAGTTGTCTCATGGAAGCGTTGTGAGCCTCTGATCATACTAAACCATTGTGCTCCTCGGCGACATGGCCTCAAGGTATGGTCGGGGTTCATGATCAATTCATGGAGACAAGTGAGTATACAACAAGGGATCTCTACCTTTAGTAAAGAGGGAGAATGCTCTGATCATATGATTCGGGAGTCTTCGGCCGAAGCACTAGGTGTGATTGAGAATAGTGACATAATCATATAAGTCATACAAGATTGGAGTTCATATTAAGGGCATGACATGTGCCCTGATGATGTAATCAAGAGCATTGAGTTAGAGAATGACTGTATTACATTGTAATTCCAACTGAATATGTTATCCACCTCATTCTATATTAACTTCAGTAACCGTGACATGTTGCTAGCCTTCACTCATGGTTTGTGGAAGCCCTAAACAAGCCATAAATGGGTCCTCTTAATATGGAGAATTAAAAATAGATTTTAATTCACAATTGATTCAAAAAGAGTCCAAATTGTCCACTGTCTCGTCGATTAGTACATAATGGATTGCACACCCATAAAGTGATCCAAGAGGATCTTGCAAACAAAATAATTAAATAATCATATACTATTATATCTTATTTAATTATTTTAAAACCATAAATAATTTGTGGTTTAAAACAATTGGTTTTACACCACCAATTTTGTATGGCTTTTGTACGTAAATGTTTTAAAACCATTCAACTCTTATGGTTTAAAAACACTTGTTATTTTTAGTTTGCTAGTTTAGGACGATGAACTTCTATATAAAAATGAAATAGACAAGCATAACTCAAAGCAGTTCCTAAGCTTCTTCCTTTTGTTTCTCTAATTGTCTTAAAATTACTCTCCTTCTCTTATTCCTATAAACTAGGAATTCATAGTTCTATCGACTAGAAGTTTTGGATCAAGTGATATCAAGCACCAGATCCGAGAGGGTGATGGTGGTTTATCGTCTCAACTCGCAACCAACGCAAAGCTTCCGAAGAATAACGTTTAGGTCCTTTGCTTGTACACCAAAAGCCAAGGTCCAAGAGAGACATTATGACTGGAGAAAACAAATAGGATACATCTAGTGATGGCGATCGCATCACTAAGCTTGAGCAACAAGTTGAAAATTTGTCAGCATCAATCCTTAAACTCGTGGAGAGTTTGAAGACTCGAAAACCTTCACGTCCATCAACTTCATATGAGCTTGATCAAAAGCTCAAGAAAAAGGTTGTTGAGGAAAGCGAAGATGAAGATGACATACAAGCTGATCCAATGAAAAAGGAAGCTGAATCAGGTGACAACAAAAAATCTATTGATACCTTAAAAATTGATTTTAAGGTTGATATCCCTATATATAAAGGAAATGTTGATCCTGAAAAGCTAGATAACTAGATAGACACATTAGAAACTTATTTCACAATTTATAAGTATTCTAATGTACAAAAGATAAAATTTATGAGTTTGAAACTCTCAAGCCATGCCCTTACATGGTGGAAGTCCTATCGGAGACGGTATGATATCTCATAATTGACTTGGAAGAACTTTAAGATGCTTTTGAGAAAAAAAATTTATCTAGTTGGCTATGAAGATGAAAGATGGTATAAGTGGCAACCCTTCAGACAAAGATTTGGCCAGCCTGTACAAGAGTATACAACAGATTTCCACAACCAGGCTAAGGTTTCGAACATCGACGTCGATGACTATGATGTTTTCATGAAGTATACTAGAGGTCTTGTCGACTACATATGGAAAGAACTGAAATTGTTCACCGTAGATACTATTGAAGAAGCTACTGTGAAGGCCATCGCCATTGAGGCGAAAAATAAAAAAAACTAACAAGAAGGATGATAGATCAAAACCTGTTAACAAAACTGATTGGCAGAAAAAGGGGAAGTAGAGCAAGGAAGGCCAAACACAGAAGGTTTACTGTGACCACTGTCAAACCAGCAGGCATGCCAAAGACAAGTGAAGGATACTCCATCCTAAGTTGCGACCAAAGTGCGAGAAAAACAACCATGGGAGAAATGACAGAAAAAGCTAGCTTAACTGTACAACAGGCAGAGGAGCTTCCAGAGTTGAGGCAACCTGATGTGAAACTTACCCTTATGACAAGAGCAGCAGATACTGAAGACATATACAACCGTGAAGAGTTGTTTCATGTGAATATTCAGGTGAAGCAAAGTGTTGTATGAGCTATCATTGACCTTGGAAATAAAAAAAAACCTGATTTAAGAGGCTTTAGTAGGGAAAGTGGGTTTAGATAGCACACCACATCTTAAGCTATACCCGCTAGGATGGATTCAGAAGGACGTTGACTTACAGATCACGAAGCAATGTACCTTCAAATTTACTATCACTAATCGATATATTGATGAGGTGACTTGTGAGGTGGTTCCTTTGGACATTTGCCAAGTCATATTAGGCAATCAATATTTATGGGATCGAGATGCCATTCACAATCGGAGGCTTCGCAAGTATCGACTTGTGAAGGATGGGAATGAGTTCCACATCAACGCTTGCAAGCCTCAAGCTACAAATAATTTGCTAACAGCTAACCTAGCTAAGAGGTTAGTCAATTCATGTGGGTGATTCATTTTGTTGATGATTTGACTGCAAGATCAGAGTTCTAGAGCTGTGACATTGTCTACTTTTTCTTTATCTCTTATGCAATGCTCAAACATAGGAAAATTGCAGAAGTTTAAGGACTTATTTCAAGATGTGCATGGTTTGCCACTGCAGAGAGCTATGGAGCATGATATCTAGTTGGTAGGAGATTTACCTCTACCAAACTTGGGTATGTATCGCACTTCTCTGACAAAATCTAATGAGATCAAGAAGCAAATTAAGGGACTTTTTGAACAAGGAGTCATCAAACCTAGCTGCTCACCATATGGTTTGCTAGTGTTACTTGTGCTTAAGAAAGATGGAGGCTGGCGTATGTGTGTTGATTTTAGGGCATTCAACAAAATAACAATCAAGAATCAGTATCCTTTGTCGAGGATTGATGACTTGTTAGATCAATTACATGGTGCTCATTACTTTACGAAGCTAGATCTCAAATTCGGCTATTACCAGGTTCGCATCCATGAAGAAGAGATTGCTTTCAAGACAAAGCAGGGACTCTTTGAGTGGTTAGTCATGCCATTTGGGTTATGTAATGCTCCAGCCACCTTCATGCGATTGATGAATGAGGTACTCCGCCCTTTCATTGACGACTTGTTATTGTATACTTAGATGACATTCTCATATTTAGTGTCACATTGGAGAAATCTTCATAATATTGCTCAAGTTTTGGAGGTTCTACGAACAAATCAGTTACAGTTAAATAGTAAGACGTGTGAATTTGGGAAACAACACCTTGTAT